CATGGTCCGCCTTGCATGATCTCATACGGTGAATACCTTTTTCCGTGAATACAGTAGATTTATTTTTATTTTTAATTATTACTGAGTTAATGATAAGTTATAATCTCATAGCGTTAATCGTATATCTCATTTGAATACCACGAATAATACTCAAAACGCGAACGAATGTCACGAGTGATTAAAAAAAAATTTTATTATTTTTTTCGCCCGTTATCACCAAGCCACGTAGATACAAACCGTGAAGAACATCCGTGAACTACGTATTACCGATATTTTCGGCCTTTTACTCCCTCTGGCCGATTTAAAGGTCTAATATTTGCAGAAAACGAGCGTGCGAAATCTGGTTCGATGAACTGCCGGGAAGGGTGAACGTACCAATGACCCGATAAAAATGATAAGAGACGCAATTCGTAACATCAACCTGATAAGTTGAGTCATCTTTCGAACGGATGATTCTCGTACATTTTTTCCTTACACTGTCATCCACGCAGTTTTATATACGTGAAAAAAGGGGGAAGTACAGATAATTTTTACGCCTTATTTACAGAATAAATTCACTTGTTGCGATAAAAAAATATATAAGATAGTATGTTAAGGAGAAAAAAGAAAACGTAATTTTTCTCTCGTACGTAACCGCGATATACAGCTTCGCTCTTGACGGTCACCCATTACAGGGATCGTTTAATAACGCTGCTCTTGCCGTTAACCTCGTAAACGACGGCAACAGTGTATCCGTAATACTACGAGGGACACGAAACCCGTTCGAACATGTTCGCGGTAGACGCGTGTCGCGCGACGAGCGATAACACTCCTTCCCGCCGCGATAATTGCCTCGATAATTAAGGCGCTTCGTTAATCGCTGAAGACCTTAAACTTTGGACGTTTCTTCTTCCTCCAGGGCGTTCCTTGAAAGGAGAACCCGTTCCAAACAGGTATGGATCAGGTGAATCATTGCCTGACTACTAATTGTAGTTTATTTGAAAAAAAATTAAGCGCGATGCAAACGCGCTTCCCGAAACGGAATAAATCTCGCTTACTTCAATCGATATGTGCGTTGCAAATATTTTAGAAACCGACTAGAATTAGAATCAAGCGTATAAGTGGTTTTACGCGTCCATCAACATCTCTGGATGTTAAGCCAGAAGCTTTAAATCATCATAGTGATGTAGATGAGCTTGTTACCATCATAGATATGCATACATGCACGGAATAAGGAGCCTCTGTTGGCGTTAGAATTCCGCAGAAGCCGACAAATGAAGATATAGTGTGTATTTCGCCCAGTTGCGAACACGACATAATTTATACACGCGCGCATTATAATCTATTACCACGGAGTAAGTTCGCTCCAAAGCAGAATACAGCGAAGATTTAACGTCGCCAGACTTTTAAAACGCGCGATTCCCATTTTTTGCAAAGTATTTTTTACGCCACTGAAACTATATCGCAGAGATCTATTGCCGATTATACCGGATAGGATCGTCCTGAACACGAAAGATCCTGTCCGGTTTGCACGGTTGAAACAAAGTAACGCAGGTTCCCGGACCGATGACCAGCATCCACCCACGCGATCGCGGTGGTCGTTCTAAAAATATACAGTCCGGTACGGCGCGCGTACGGTGCTACCGGTTTTAAATCTCGGCCGCTATCGGATGGCGACCGGTACGCTACACGTTGCACGACGTGATGCCTCACGTCGAAATAAAACGACGCGACGGGGTTGCGAAAGACCGGGAAGGAAGGGTTGCTTGCCGGACGTTTCTAGATGCTAAACGCGGAGATCGTTAATCGAACGTTGACCAGTACCCGCGACAGTGACTCCGATTACGAGGAGCTCGAAGGCAGTTATTAAGTCGACATTTGCATCCACGACTAATAGATTTCGCGAGATACAATTATGATTTTTCCACAACGACGGAAAATTGCAACGCCAAGTATTTATATTTATAAGGTTGTCTTGAAAGTCAAGTCCACGTGAGTCAGATGAGTGTGATCCAATATAGTTTTAAAATCGATGATGGAATTTTTATAAATGGAATTGATCGATAAGGAAATTAAAGATTGATAAGAATGTGAAAAAAAACGGGATCTATCAGATCTTCCTGTATAAAAATTAAAATTTAATCAGAGCTGTACCGTTATGATTGTATCTGTGTCATTCATGAGAAAGGATTTTGTTTACTTATGTGATTAAAATTAATTATCAAAAACTTGATAAGACGCATCTTGTCATAACGTGTATTATAAAACGTTTAATATTGCGCACATATTGTGTAATATTTCGTAATTAAGCTTTCTCCTCATTTTTTTACGTCTCGAATAAAACTTCTTATACGTAAAAATTATAGGCATCAAAATATCTTCCGAAGTTCTTGCAACTAATTGTAAGTTTAACTTCGTTAAGCGAATCGACTTCTCGTACAATGACGGCACAATCAACTCGTCCCTCTCTGAAGCCGCCTCTTTGACTTTTACGTACATTGAGACAATTGGCTTCGCAGAAGTGGCGTCTCTCATAACGAGCAGTTCCTGTGAGACGCGCGGTGAAGTTCACGTATCGATCCACCACGAGAATCCCAAGGTTCAAGGTTCCTCCGTTGAAACATCCGCGCGCGAAATTATCAGCGACACGGTGCGTTATTGACGCGCGCGATATCTCTCGACGCATCGCGACCGATATAAGCGTCCATCGATATCGACATCGCCATTCCGTCGAACTACGGCCAGGACGCGCACATCTCGATACACGCATCGACTCCGGTTTCCACGTTCTACAGTGGTAATGTCATCTCTCTGTAACGTCATCCCCGACGCGTCCAAGATATTCACCTGGCCTTTAACTCCCACGTCTGATATCCAATGACAGTGTCTCTCCGTGCGCCTCACTTCTGACATTAATCTGTTGTTCTCTCCCTTTCTCTCTTTATCTTTCACTTTCTCTCTCTTCAGGCTCGCGTACACACGCCAAAGAGACGACGCGTCGATCGCCTATCGATTCGAGTGGTGCTCACGTTCACGCTTTCGAGATTGTTTAACACGCTTCTATCGTGCCAGCGTTGCGTTATGCGTCTGATGAATGAAAATTCATAGAAGTGAAGTGCATTCCGTTTTTTTTCCGTCGATTGACCGAACGTCAATCTTGTTCGAATAAAATTGCGTTTCCATGTTTGAAGTGTGAAAATGAAATCTGTAAGGTAAAGCAAAAGAAAGCACGTGCGATACATTTTCGCGACATTTGATCCTTGAACGTGTTAAATATTCCCGAATTAGATTTCATTGCAGAGCGTGATTAAAATTTGTGCGAACTTTACGTGTAATAAAAAGAGCAACGTTAATGGTAATACATTGACTTTTTCCTTGATCCACGTTGAATGTGTGATTCCATTTTTCACGCGCGTCGTGCATGCCCTCGCGCAAGCCAATATGCTCATATTTATTTATGTAGTCGCGTTCTCGTGTAGCTGGCGCACGGTGCACCGTATGCATCATGAATCAGCGCGCGCAATGGCAACGTATTGTATTCTTGTTTCTCCGTTTTCTCGTCCATTCATCGGCTGCACCAAAAAAAAAAGACTTAACCATACCGATGCCGCGAATATCATTCGCATTGTCACAAATTATCGAGAAATTAAGCGTAAGCGAATTGTCTCGTGTTCCATTTCGCTCATCCGTCCCTAATTAATTATAAGTATGTCCGAGCTCATTAACTCGGCGTGTAGTCATTCGAGCGATTAAAATTGATCTTTGACACTGCAGACCGATATTCATTATCGTTCGAGCGTCTATTATTATCGATTATAGGCGCGGTGAATTCAACAGTATCGATGATGGTATCGCGTTAATATTTATCATTAATATCAATGAAATACCGCTGACAATATTTTGTCGATACACGTATCAAGACATCCATTTGACGAATTAATATGCAATATCGAAGAATCTCGTTAAAATACTAAAAAATCGGTAAAACTGGACAACTAAAATTAGAACGAGAAACGAAACTATATCTCGCATGAAAGTAACGTTTAACTTTTTTCAGTTTTCTCCGGGAGTTTAATTTTAACGGTGGTAAAATAAACGTTTCCGATTTGCGGCCGCATCCCCACCCCCGTGCGGAGCTCGTACTTGGTCGCGTAAACTGCGCAGTTGCGCTCGAGTGTCGTTTTGTCGTGTCATACGCGCCTTTACGGCTCCGAGGTGCACGCGAACGCCGGTACTCTCGTATGGCCTCTCACTCTCTCCCTCGTCGAGAGTGAGAGGCCATACGAGAATCCCATTGCTACATGCTACACGCTCCGCTGTGTTTCGAGACTATGTCGCGCGCGCCACTGAGTTGCACTTGCGTCTTCCAAGCACGGACCGAGTCGCTCTCATATCAACATCCACTGAACGAAATGCCGTAGGAAAATCAAAGCAAAAAAGCATGAAATGCTCAAGAGGGCGAGAAAATGTACAAAATATTTCTTAATAGATTTCATGCTGACACCTAAAATTGAGATAAAAAGAAGAATAAAAGAAAACAATTTGTCTGATTTTTATATAACTATAAGTGAATGATGTTATTAGTCATATATGTATATATTTTATTAAAAGCGTAAATATTCCATAATCCAAAATCCTAAAAATGCAGTATCGCGATAGTAAAATATTTTTCGTACACTATGTGGATACTAGATACGCCGTGGTGTCTGGCGATTGCAGTAAATGTTAGCGTTCAAACGGAGCTCACTCACGGCGTCCGAAGAGCAAGACAATGTATTGTCACGCTCCTCGCGTGTCCCCCACTTTTTTCCATCACCGCAGGTGCGCGCGCACGCACCCCCACTGCACAACCAATCGGTCGCGCGGGTAAAGCGGAGTAGGGATGTCTGCCGCTACCGCGAGGCAGAACGTGCGGACCGAGTGGCTGCGAAAGCACAGAATCATTACCACGCCAAACCTCGAGGAGAACAGACGTGTTTCTCGTTTACCCTGAGCTCAGTCGAGATTTCGTGTCGCTCCGTATTCTCGTCTTTCTTCGCCGCTCCCTGTTGTACGCGCGCCGCTCAAATATAACACGCGTGTGATATATCGCGCCAAAGAGGACATCCGGCGGTATTATCGTCGCTCGTGAAACTATCGAGTCCGATCACTCTGATCTCGGTCGTGTCGCAAAAAATTTTACGGGACACCTCACGTGACTGTTCGCGCGAGATACACTTCTGATCCGTAGTCACGGGTGACCCGACGTCACGGTCGACCCCCCGTATGTGTTACATCCTTACGAGTGACGTGAACCAACTGGTGCAGCCGCCAGCTAGACAACCGCGGGGACATTGAACGCGGCGATAGCGCGTTCGTGCTCCGGAATTCTCGCGCTCTTTCTCGAAGAGTCAACGGAAGTTCAACGTGTTCCGTGCACAGTGCATTCGAGCAGCCGGTCAGCAGCCGTGAGAAGAGACAGTTTTGTATCTGCAATTCTCAGCAGGTGACTCTCTCAATTCGAAAGTGACTTTTCTTTTTTTTCTTTTTCCTCGTCTCAAGAGCGTCCGTCGAACAATATCGCCAGACGTGATATTGTTTCGAAAAAAAAGTCTGGTTTTGAAAAATCGAGAGAATTGTCAGAATTCGTGAAGTCTCAGAATAGCATTCTCTACGGTCTACTGCATGCGCGCACGCCACGTGCGATCCGGAATGATGAACTTTAAGAGCGTGCGCCGGTGAACTCGTAACCGATCACGTGTAGCGTTTCCGACGCGTTTACGATTCTGCGATTTACGAGAGCGAGATCTGGTTAGAGACTCCGAACGGAGGAGCGATCTCCGGAGAGAGTGCGCGGGGGAGACACACAGAGAGTGAACAGTGAACTCAACAACGGACATTGCTTGGTTCGGTTGCAGTGCGTCGATCCCGGGCTAGGCGGGAGCGGTAACGATACACGTAGCTTGGACTTGGACTCGAGCTACAAGCTGCCCGCAATTGCCCCGGTCGAATAGACGAGTCGGAGAGCGAGGAAAGCCATACCATGGCAATACCGTTTTTGCCCAACAACGAGGAAAACACGGCGGAGGAGGAGTTGATGTACCAGCTATATGTAACTCTGCACAATGCCCTCCGGAGCAGGAACGCCCATCATCCGTCGCGAAATCGTGAGTTGAGCGATTTTTTAAGACATGTTCACCGTCGATGCGAAAGCTTTTTGAAGCGTCTTATTACGCGCTCGTATCGAAATGTCCGCGCTATGCAATCTGGCAGGTCAAATCTGTCGTCGATCCATAAAGAGAGAGAGGAATAATTGACAGGTCGTCTCCTTACGTGCGTATGAACCCATGTTTCCGATCGAGCGGGCAGCTCGACTCTGAGATTAATAACGAAATGATCGGAGATAGTCGATAGGTAATTACATGTAGAAAGATAATGCTTGATGACTATGGCCGGAAATTGAACGATAGTCTCGACTGGAAAAGATTGAAAGAAAAAGTATTCTCGGCTGTCCGAGAAGAGATTATATTTATTTGCTCCGAGAAGCGTATTGACGTAGGGCAAAATTTATCGTTATGAATTATCGTTAGTTAGAAGACTGTAATAGATCAAAAGTAATGAGAGTAAAGATAATCGTGAAAGAGAATTTACTATTTTATTGAGAGCGATTATACCATGAGGTCAAATATGACGAATCACATATTATCCTTTTATATCTCTATCGGTCACTATTGTAAATAAAGTGTGATACTTAGAAATAAAGCGCAACTTGCGCCGTACCTTTTTAGATTGCGTAGATTTTATATATTATAAAATAACAAGCGAATATATGAAAAAAAATCTGTTATGTGTGATTAATATTATAAATAAGTAAATATTATTAATATTATAATATTATATACAATTAAGACTGTTCAAATAAATATGCAATTTGTCAAAAAATTGAATAAAAAGTCCTTGATTTATTCACAAGATCACTACGATTTTATAAGTAACTGAAGTGTTAACTTCGATAAAGTCGCTGTTTATCGCTAATGCTACCTTAGAACATTAAGACTATCCGATCGCTAAAGCTACCAACTTGCTGACGGTCGAGATAAACGTAGTAAGGGTCGGTCGATAGCATCTCGGTCAGAATTCTGTAGTGCAACACGTGGTTGCGACGGGGAACAATTCGGAGCAACGCAAGAAATACGTGAGGGACCCGCGCGTGACATTTTAATTCTTGCGCTTAAGATGATTAATTTCTTACGTGCCGCAAATAATTCATACGGGCCGCTTTAACAGAAAAGTACACGTCAACGTACATCGCAAAAATATTAAGTTGCACTTACAAAATTAGCATCATAAAAAATGCTTATTTGAAAGCAACTGATACTTATGCTGCGCACGTCTCTCTTACTAGATAAATATAATTTTGAAATCAGATAGTTATATTGAGTTATATATTTATTCAATTATATTTGCAATTATACTCGGTAAGAATAAAAGCCGTTTCTTGGAAAGACAGCGTCTTGTTTTAAAAAAGCTATATCGAATATTGGAGGACCTTTCAATTTTTCGTAAGTATTGCACCATATTGACAAAAATGATATCATTGATCGGGGTCATTGTCCCGCCGTGAATCATTGTCGAAACATTTCGTTTGGTCCACGTAGCGAGACGTAGATACCTTGTTTCTTAATTTCGCGCGATGCCTCGGGCGTGCGCCTTTGACGTCATTTCAGAGGTGATAGACAAAAACCGCAAAACCGCTTTGAGCATTCTTTGCAAATATACGTAGCATAGTAATTTCCCATAATATTTTTTTGACAAATGTTATATCGTGTTGAGTGAAATGACAAGTATTCGTTCTGCAGTTATATTTTTGTTAATTTGACATCAAAATGCACTCCTGCGTCTTTGGAAATAAAGACAATTGAAGTTCGCAATGCTTTCACGTAGATCTGTAATGGATTTTACAATTCAGTTTCAATATCATGAATATTTTATGTGTTATTGATATAAATCTATTTTTCTCTTTGAAATTCTAACAATGTCGATTGGAAAATGCTTCCTGGTGTATGATAGCTGATGCTAGAAATAAATACGCCGCGACGCACGTCATCGTAAATCGCATGGCAACGTTTCTGCACTCGCAATTCCCGTTTAAAAAAGTCTCTTACAAATCTATTCGATCGCGGAGCGACGAACAAGACGGTTCTCGTGAGATTGCGATGTCTCATATTCGGCGCACAGTAAAGTCCAACTTTACGAGAATGCAGCGAGAGGGGAGGGCGAGAATGGATCGTACGCGGGTAAAACAGATGTAGTGTGGGTGTAGAGCATCGAGCAAAAGCGAGAGAAAAAGAGAGGGAGAGTATGGCAGACGATGTCCGGCCATGACCCTGCTCCGCTGGTCGTGCCTCCTTTACAGAGAAAAGAGAGGAGACCAGAGGAGCGAGGAGAATCGGCGACGTATGGAAAGAGAAAGAAAGAGAGAGAGAGAGAGCGAGAGAGAGAAAGAGAGACGACTGGTCAGCCACAGCACACGCAGTAAAACGCGCTATAAAACGCGATGCAGCGCGGCCCCGGCCGCGACGAAGCCCGAATCTCGGATGTCGATCGTGCTGGCGCACCTCGCAGAGAGATTGCGGCTATCAACCGCAAGTGCGTGACATCATCGATTGCTCTCTCTTTCTCTCTTCCTCTCCCTTTCTCTCTCCCTTTCACGCCAGCAGCGTACGCCTCGCCGCTCTGTAAATCAAGTAGAAAATCCACAAGAGCTGGTACTCAATCCCCGGTGAAGCCTCGGTAAGGCGCGGAGTGGTTTCAAGCGATCTCCTACCAATAAAAACATTATTACGGCATACGCTATTGCAATATATGTGTAGAAAATTACTGTCGCGCGATCGATCAATCTGCCTGAAACGATAAATCTCTGATATTGGCTTCTAAACAAGTGGAGCAGCAACAGTGATCGAAGTTTTATTAGCAGAGAATGTAAGAAAATTTACTTCCTTCATTATTTAACCGCGTTGCGGTTTGATAATTCCGATTGAAAAGTCTTTACCAGAAATCGTCACGATAATATAATTTCAATGCTAAAAAAAAATGAAAATAAAATTTAAAATATATTTCGAAATAGATATAGTACGCGTGCGGTAACGCTTACCGCACATTACTGTTGTAACACTTCACGGCTATTTGAACCGCGCCGTTAATGAATATCGTTGGTACAACGAATAATTTATGGAGATTTAATCTTTCGACCGTGATGGATAATGTAATCCGCGGATAAATCCCTCGCTTTACATTGTATAATATATTTTATTGCATTTTGCTCGCCGTGAATAAAGCCGTGCGTCAGGCAGAACGTAATTACCCGTGCCATGTGCAATAATCAAATCTTCAATCGTAATACGTCGTTTTAATGCGAACGCACGTTGCTCTTATTCCGCCATTCGCGTAATTTTCATTTACGTGCGACGTTACAGCGGAATTGCATCATTTTATATTTTGTCGTTCGAATGTCAAAAGTTTATCTTCAATCTAGTTTAGAATTTTTTTACCGATTTTTTTCATCAATATATATACCTAGGTCTTGAAAAAAATTATCGAAATGATATTCGGCACGTTTTTCCTTTTTGCGATCTAAGAAAATGAAGAAGAAATTTATCAAGTAAGAAATCTAGAATAGTATATTCAAAGACTAACATGAAACACGGCATTCTTCAATTATTTACACTAATAATAAATATTCAATAATTTTCGTCGAGCAATCTATCGCACTGATAGGATTACGCGCCGACCAACACGAGGATTCCTCATCTATCCTGCGCGCGTTTAAATCACACGTTACGATGCTCGGGCCCATTATTTCACGAACGGAAATAGTGTCGGGCCGCGCGCACGTTGCACGGAGGTCAATAACCATAGTTGCCGCGCTTTCGCGAGAGAAGATGCAGAATTGCCGCCGCGAGCACTCGCGTGGTTGCATCAAATCGGGGGTTGTTATTTATAGGAACAGCTGTGGGCATTCCCGCACCGCGCGGAGTCTTCTCGTAACATTTGCAGAAAACTTCCCCCTCGTCATCTCGTGCGCTCTCGCGCGCGAACAAACGCCTCGCGGGAGTGCGGCAATCGCGATTACGCGCGCGTCCCAAATGTATTTTAAGGCGGCCACCTCCTTCGGCCTTTTCAAAGATAGGATCGATCCGGACAGGGCGTACATTCTAATGAGACGTTTACTCGGAATTTATCACGTTTCAGTCAGGTTAATTCGTTGACACAAAGTACGTGATGCGACAAAATTGCAATATATTCATATTTGCGCAATATTGATTTGCGAACAGATGTCCGAAATTATAGTACTGGTTAAATGAGTGACGTTTCGAACGTAGCAACTTATCTCGCTTTCTCATTTCATACTTTTTTCCCACAAGTCCGCTCTATAAGACGAATCAAATGATCGCGATCGCTCTAATCGGAGGAGTTTGATTTCTCGGTACGAGAAAGATCGGGTAACTCGTAACACGATATGCACTTGATACTGAACTTCATATTATGTTTCTCTCTCTCTCTCTCTCTCTCTCTCTTTCTCGTAAACTGTCTCACGCTATCGTAACTGCTCACAATTTTAGAGTAAAGACGAAGGCACGCTTGAAACTATGCTCGAATAATGCTTCCCTATTAATAAATTCTAACTTAGATATAATTAGAAATTGTTAATTATATTGCCGTACTATCTCGCCGTGGAAGCTTTCTCATCGGCGACAAACCGAGCGTGAAAACTTTGACTATGACTTGCTTGATTTATCAAAGATATTCCACTTAGTATAGCGGCAGACGAGCGATCGATGCCGTCGGGATGAGAACAGTGACTCTAGTCTATAGACCTTATGAAATATTGAAAGGAATTCGTCATTGTAGATTGCTGAGTCTCTCTCCCGCGACCGCCGCCTCTCCCGCCATTCATACTCGCGAGAGCGACTGCTATTGACAGAATTCTTCAAAAATTCATCGCATCCCTCACTCGGACGGAGACTCCAATCTCTTTCTGTCCCTCTTTCCCTCATCGGCGATCCGTTATCGTCGCGTATAAACCGCGCTTTATCTCTCGTCGCAAGGCAGACACTCGAGGGCGCGACGTCGCTTCTTTTTATCTATTCGCCCGTCGAGTTTATCG